ATATTTGTTTTACTTCAAGTGATAAATGTTTGTTTCCCGGAAAACCTACACAGTCCATGTTTACCAGACCTTACAGTTCACTGTTATATGATATATGAGTCCTCTGTTTTTCCCTGAAACAAACATTACTGATGTCACTACAGTGTTCGATATGGACATATATCGACCAATAAATACAAAGAATTCCAGATATAATTTAATTACCACCCTATCAGAGGCAGCGTAAAGTTGTACCATTAAACGGAGTCACGCCAGAGCGAACTAGTGTAATGATGAGCCAGATATGGAAAAGCTGTATGGCGCGGTTGTCACTCATTTACAAAGTACCGGTCCGTGTCCTCTTGTATTTTGCTTGGTGTGTTGACAGGTAACTTACATTCGTTCATTGAATATAATATCGACGTTGCATGATTTATTTACAAGTAATATTAACCATCCGAGCTTCGCCTCAGCTTATATATGTCACTACCGAAGTCCGTCGTCAATCATAGGTCTATGAACTGTTAACGGTTGTGATATAAAAATAGGAAAATCGTAATGTTAACTGAAGGCAGGTCAATACCTTAAATAACAAAATGCGTGTAAAAGCTCTACCAAACCCTCGGGATCCATCTATGTTGAATATGATGAGTCGTCAGGTAGCTGTATACGTGCAAACACTTTACTCACGTCATTATTTACCCTTGGTATATAATCCAAAGACAAAACCTATTAGATTCTCTGTCTAATTTCCAGCTTAACATTCAAATCTTGACTTAAACCTGATTGAACATTCAGTAAATTATATCAATATACTAAATCGGGGAAGTAACCACCTTAGTCATGATCCTAATTCTGCTATTTGTGTCTGTGTTCAGAAGTATATTGAGTCTACAAACCGATTTTGAAATAACTGTTAATCATAGTCCCAATGTGTATGCATACATGTCTACATTAATACTCCTTCAACACGGCCCCTGCTTTGGATTGTCAATGACAGGGTAAGCACACAGTGGTGGTGTGTATGGACATTTTAGTGCTGCCCAGTTAATAATTGTTATCTGGAGTAGGAGTGGTGATGGAGAACTTGTTGGTGTCAACTAATAATATTTAATATTTAATATCCATTAAATACTTCAACTTGGAAGACACTGATATTAGATAAAATTGAACCATATGGGGGAGATAAAGTTTTTAAAATGAAAAAAGAAGGGCTTTTAAACATTTCCAAATTCTTAAATAACTTTTGGAGAGAAATATTCACTATATGGGCAGAGTTAACTGGTGATGAACTCCCCACAACCCCAGACACTGTTGCTTCTGAGCCGATCTGGTATAATAACTTCATTAAAATTGATAATAAGATTTTTATTTATAAACATTGGTGTGAAAAGGACATTTTTTTATTGGGGATCTTGTTGAAAACAATAGATTTTTAACACATGAATACTTTTGTAAGAAATTCAATTTGGCTGTTAATTTCATTGAATTTTTGGGAATTTTAAATGCAATACCAAGGTCATGGAAACTAATTTTATTTCAAAGAAATGAACCAATTGAGGCAAAACAAAGTAAATTTATTCAGTATTTGAAGAAACATGAAAAGGTTACAAACTATTTTTATAAATTTATGCTGAAATCAGTCACAGAAATACCAAAGAAAAGTCAAGATGCATGGCAGGAAATTTTACATGTAAACATTCCCAAAGAATCCTGGTGTAAGTTTTATTCAATTCCGAGATATATTACAGATGACACTAAACTTCAGAATTTTCAGTTCAAACTCTTTCATAGAATTCTATATACTAATACCAAATTAATGCAATGTAAATTGAGTGAAACAGAAAGATGCACATTCTGTGGTGTGGGAAGAGAAACATTAATACATTTATTATGGGAATGTTGTCATGTACAATCTCTTTGGTCATCCTTTATGTATCTCTTGAGGTCACAATTTGAAATAGACTTAGAAAGAGACCCAGTAACCATGTTGTTTGGTATTTTGGAAACTGAAAATGAAAATGAAATAAATTTCTTGATTTTAATATTAAAATATTACATATATATGTGCAAATTAAGGAGGAAAACCCCTACAATTACTGAATGGAAAACTTACATGTTTTTTTATAAAAAAAGTAGAAGAGTGTGGAATTGATACATATTCAAATAAAAAAAGATTATGTTAAATCAAAAATGGATTTTCATTGACAGAATGCTAAATATGGATACATGATTGTATCTTGTATTTTTTTTTTATATACAATCTTCAGAGTTAAATCATTCATGAAATATGTCAAAATTAATGTAGCAATGTAGCAGTATGAATTGTTTATGTTTGTATTTGTTGTAATAAAGTTTTATAGATGCAAGTTCTGTTCAAAGATATAGATAACATACGTACAGTGGTCTTTCATTATTCTTACTGATATTACATATTTTTATATGTTTTGAATGTGACAACAAAAAATTTTGAATAAAAAAATAAATAAATAAATAAATAAATAAATATTTACTGTATTGAATGAAGGTTCCAGTTTTTGGTATTAATATATTTTGTAAAATTTATAAAAAAAAATAAAAATGTGTTTTTCTTAGTTCAGAGATGGATAGAGACTATTAAGTATAAGTTGTCAAATAAAAGTTGAATTGTGTATGTGTGCGTGTGTGTGTGTGTGTGTGTGTGTGTGTGTGTGTATCATATTGTATGTTGTCTCTGTATTGTTTTGTATATATGTTATGACTGATAAGTCAACCGACTTAAAGTAATAAAGAACTTGAACTTGAAGTATTAATTACTATTTAATATTTACATTTGGTGTGGCAAATCCCTTCTATATTACTACTAAAGTATTGCCAATAACAAACAATTTTACGCCTGGATTTTTCACCAATTCAACCTTCTTCGGTTAAACGATCAACATCAATATGCATATACCGGACTGCAAATATAACTCTGACCTGATTACTGCGGGCTTCCGTTGAGTGCATGCGCCGGATATAGGTCGCAATAAAATCGGAAAATGTTTTATGACACTTGATTACTGACTTGATTAGTTACTTACAAAATGTTATTTGTTACTATTTTATGAATTGAGAATATAATATGTTTACAAATTAAAAGCAAATGAATTATTAACGAAAGTTGTGAAGCCTTTTCGATTTTGTATGGTAAATAGCGCTTGACGTCAGCTGTTATTTTTGCCGTTCTAGTTATTGACCTGACCTGACGGTAATAAGCGGGAAATTTGAAAGTTGGAAAAGACATAAATATTTTTTTGCGAATTCTCATTACGGAAATATAAATATAAACAATAAACTGTATAGATCGCACCATTCAGTTTGTCTGTGACACATTTGGCAGTTATACCAGTTGGTCTGCCACATCTACGTGTACAAGGAACAGGTTAATGGAACTATATGAATACGATAAACTACCCAAAAGTTCGAAAACCACCCAAAGATAACTCATTAAAAATGTAGTATCATACTGCATTGCCACCTTGCATTGTGTAAATAGAGAAACGAGAAAAATAAATAAATAATAAATAAGTAGTTCAAAACCTAACCTGAGGTATGTTGTATACATGGCAACTGTTAGGCCATAAAGGGTAACATCAACGCCATAGACAGGGTATATAACTTGTCTGACAGGGTATATAACATGTCAGACAGGGTATATAACATGTCGGTCAGGGTATATAACATGTCGGACAGGGTATATAACACGTCAGACAGGGTATATAACATGTCAGACAGGGTATATATCATGACAGACAGGGTATATAACATGTCAGACAGGGTATATAACATGTCAGACAGGGTATATATCATGACAGACAGGGTATATAACATGTCAGACAGGGTATATATCATGTCAGACAGAGTATATAACTTGTCAGACAGGGTATATTACTTGTCAGACAGGGTATATAACATGTCAGACAGGGTATATATCATGTCAGACAGGGTATATAACTTGTCAGACAGAGTATATAACTTGTCAGACAGAGTATTTAACTTGTCAGACAGGGTATACAACATGCCGTGCCTTACTTGGATTTAAATGATTGAAAACGTTAAATACATTTTTTTTTACTTTTCTTTTACTATTATCGACTGCATCTTTTCTCGGGACAATTATTTCAAAATACTGAATTGATTCTGCTTTACATCCAATGGATGCAGACTTTTATAATCTGTATCTGTTATGGAATGAGTTAGGATTGTTACGGGGAAACCCTTAGGCTTCATAAATTTAACCTATATTTAAAACCTTGACATGGTCTGTAATTTGAACAGATCATACAAGCAACATATGAGCACTCTCGAATATATTTCCAGATTATCCACCATCAACATAAATACCATTTATGTAGTTTATTGAAAACATCTGTAAATAATCATAACGTTTATTTGATTGAAAACGTTTTTATGTATGTGAATGCATTGGTGTTTTAATTTGGTAAATTTGGTAACTGCATCATACAGCTGTTCGACCGTCTAGGACCCGTTGGTAATGCTAGGGGCGAAGTCCAAACGGGTCTAAACTATTGTTTGCAACAAGCAGGTGGTGCATACAAGTCCTAAATTGAAAGAATTTCAAAACTTCAAAGAGCACTGGTTAATCTCTAAATACATAACGGGTACAGTTTGCATTATATCAACTGCAGTGGCGTAAAAAAGGAAAGAAATATAAAAAAAAAATGAAAATGTTAGTCCGACGGAACATTATACATGTAGCTTGTTGTCCTCAGATACTCATTTAAGGGCCTTTTTAGTCTTATAATTAGCAAGTAAAACTTTTACAGTATACTTGTTAACAATCAGACTAAAGTGTGTTCTCAGAACAAGGGATATTGCTTCTAGGGCCTTGTAGAATGTTTGTCAAGCTATGTAAGCATACACTCCCAAAAATGATGATTCTAATAATGCCTTAGCCCCAGTATTATCTTTGATCAGTGGCACTGTTCAGTGGCGTAGCAAATGGTAAACAAATATAGCATACCTCTGTGTTATAACAAATGCATGTGTATTACGTGTTTGTAGAGAATGACTGGGAACTAGTCTTCAGAGCACAGTCCAACAACAGTCTGAGTCCTTATGCAGCATGGATGGGAACGTTGTCTCTTCCAACTCCGGTACAGGACGGCTGTAGGCTTATGACGGAAACGTTCACATGTACCACCATTTATAGAAATGATGTTCTTGATATGTGGAGTTCGGGAAATATTACTGAGGCGAGTTTTATTAATTTATTGTTATTTTGGCGTCCCGTCACCATAAGTTTAAGTGTGCTTCGCTGTGTGTAACATCATAAATTTCCAATATAATTGACACAACTTTGTGTTATGATACAAACTCAAGAAATACACGCATGAAATTCAAATATAATATGATGCTGGTCCTTTCCTTTGTTTGAATTACAGGTACAACTGGAGCTATACCGAGGTGGTAGCCGAGTTGTCTATGTCCGATTTGATGGCAGAGGATCAGCGTTAACCAACTGGTTTAGCATCGATAAGTTAATAGACAGTGGCTGGAGCACCATGTCTAAAAGCCGCACCTTCAATTACTTCTCCATACATGGGTATTACTTATTGTTGAAACAACTCTTTTTCAAATTGTTCTTTTTTTGAAAATGAAAAAGACTCATCATATAACTATGTACCATGATGTTCGATAAAGGCATCATGCATTTACAATGACAATATCTTCATTTAAGTTTGAAGTTATAATTTTGATTGATTTTGGTTTAGAGCGTTGCAAATTAACAAGTTACCTCCCAATTATCAATTATTTTTGTCCTATCAGACATCTTTTTGTATGACATCATGTGGAGGGCGTTAAAATATGCAAATGATATTGGTATTATAACGTAACAATTCAACAGGGTGGATCTCTATATTGGTATTATTTACAATTTAACAAGGAAGTGTATTCACTGACGAGCTATACAGTCAACGAAACTGATTTAAAAATAAGATTGATACACTTCTACTTCTACTTCTACTGATACTGACCAACTTCAACAATTTGAAAATAAAATGTCAGACGAGGAGTAAAACATGGAAAGAGATTGTTTTTAAAAGATACGAGATGGTCTAATTTGCGTTTGAGTGAAAGTGACGGTAGAGGGCTGATTTGAATAATTCCGTTGTGGGGCTCGAAATAATGTCAGGTGGGAGTTTATTCCACTCGGGTATAGTTCGAGGGAAGAATGATGCCTTTCTGGTCACGGTTTTTGAGTGGGGAATTTGATACGAAAACTGGTGGTTTGTTCGGGATTTTCTAACTGTAGGGATTAATCTGTCTGATTTTACGATAGCGACTTTCTGGTTTACAATGTTATGAAGCATGGTCAGACGAGCATCTCTACGTCTATCTGCTAGAGGGCGCAGCTTTAGGTGGTCCAACATTTCTGACACACTGGAGGTACGATCGTTGTACCTGTGCTTATTGAGCACATAGCGCAATGCCCTTCGCTGGACCATTTCCAACTTGTCAATATTTGTTTGGGGGTGAGGGTCCCATACTGTACAGGCATACTCAAGTGTTGCTACGTACGGCTTTTGTAAGATTCATTTGTTTGATAGTCTTTTTCACGCGTGGAATATTGACATAGGAAAAGAAAAGTCTCGTGACGTTTCAACCATGTTTTCTTATGAAGCGTATATATACAATGTATCTAGGAATAATGTCGGTATCTGTGGTGTATTTTTATATCTTCTGGTGCGAAAAAACACAAAATAACCACAGGAAATGTATATAATCGTTTTATTTAAAAATTGGTAAATGGTAATTAAAACGTTATTGAGATAGACTATGTCTAAATCCTCGAATTTCATCTCATTGTTTTACAGGGCCGACGAAAGGAGGTTTTTTATCAATCAAAACTATGGCAGCTGTCCTGTCGACGCAGGCTGGATGGCAGTTATTGATACCACTTCAGTCTATGGACCATGTGAGTGGGACATCAAAACAAAAAAAAGGCCAGCCTTTCTTTTCGCTCCAACAGAGGATGTCACTCAGTGGCAGAACTATGGTAAGATCATTGGGTGAAAACTGTCGAATCAGGTCGACAACAGGAGCGAGACAGGCTCTGACGTAATAGTCCTAGTTTCCAAGTTAATTCATTGTTTAAGTGACAGAATCGCCAATTCTGTTTTAAACATCAAGGAAAGAATATACTAACTTGACCCCTGTTGTAGTATTAATCATCAATGCATGTCTAATAACAATACAGTGTTAGTAAACGTGCTTAACATCAATACACGTCTAGTAACACTGTAATGTAAATCATCCATACGGTTCTAGTAACACTGTAGTGTAAATCATCAATACACGTCGATTAACACTGTCGTGTAAATCATCAATACACGTCCAGTAACACTGCCGTGTAAATCATCAATACACGTCTAGTAAACATGTCGTGTAAATAATCTATACACGTCTAGTAACACTATTGTGTAAATCATCAATACCCTTCTAGTAGCTTTATAGTGTAAATAAATCATACACGTCTAGTAACACTGTAGTGTAAATAAATTATACTGTTTTCTACAGCAGTCGTAGTAAACTATCGATATCAATTCATTTTATTTGTAGAATTAAGACATCTAATTAACTCCAAGTTGTATAATATTTCTCCGTTTCATTTATATATTGTTTCAATATAATTAATGTAAAGATATTTCCATTGCTAAGTTAAATGGGATATCGATTTCTTTTAAGATATCATTTATCTTTTTAAAGATATCTATATTTATTCAAACGTAAGTCACTTCTTTTTAAGTAATTGAGTATTCGTTTGCTTGCTATGGGCACGCTCTGAAACCTTATGGGATTAGTCGGCTTTACGGTACCAATGCATGCTGGTGGAAACTCCTATAGCCATACATCCTGTTGATTATACGCGATACAATTGGGTTATTACAGATTGATTAAAATATATAGTTTAACATCCTGAATGGTCTGCTAACAAAATATTGATGTATGTTTAATTTTAAAATATGAATCAAGGACTAATAAAAGCTATTCTTTTAAAGTGTGATGAAAGTAAACCTTCCTCTAATGGACCCACTAGTTACTAGTGGACCCACTAGTTACTAGTGGACCCACTAGTTACTAGTATGTACAATACCTCCCTCTAATGGACCCACTAGTTACTAGTATGTACAATAACTCCCTCTAATGGACCCACTAGTTACTAGTATGTACAATATCTCCCTCTAATGGACCCACTAGTTACTAGTATGTACAATACATCCCTCTAATGGACCCATTTGTTACTAGTATGTACAATGCCTCCCTCTAATGGACCCACTAGTTACTAGTATGTACAATACCTCCCTCTAATGGACCCACTAGTTACTAGTATGTACAATACCTCCCTCTAATGGACCCACTAGTTACTAGTATGTACAATACCTCCCTCTAATGGACCCACTAGTTACTAGTATGTACAATACCTCCCTCTAATGGACCCACTAGTTACTAGTATGTACAATACATCCCTCTAATGGACCCATTTGTTACTAGTATGTACAATGCCTCCCTCTAATGGACCCACTAGTTACTAGTATGTACAATACCTCCCTCTAATGTACCCACTAGTTACTAGTATGTACAATATCTCCCTCTAATGGACCCACTAGTAACTAGTATGTACAATAACTCCCTCTAAAGAACCCACTAGTCACTAGTATGTACAATATACTAGTTACTAGTATGTACAATACCTCCCTCTAATGGACCCACTAGTTATTAGCATGTACAATACCTCCCTCTAATGGACCAATGGTTACTAGAATATACAATACCTCCCTCTAATCGACCCACTAGTTAGTAGTGTGTACAATACCTCCCTCTAATGGACCCACTAGTTATTAGCATGTACAATACCTTCCTCTAATGGACCCACTAATTACTAGAATATACAATACCCCCTATAATAGACCCACTAGTTACTAGTATGTACAATTATAATTGCGTATGATCTATTTTACACCACAATGTATTTGAACGAAAAAAAGTGACAATGGTATCACTTTGGTGTTTTTTCTCAGCGCTCAAATATCCTATAAAACTCATGACAACACGGAAGATCTTTGTTTCAATGAATAACATACGTATATATCCCAGTTCCCATAGGAGTGGTAGTATATATAAACACTACATAATTCGGGAATGATATGATTAGACATTGATATCGATTTGTTTATTCTACGCCCTTCAATCGTCTATCAGAACGTTTTAGCGGCATTCATCTAACATTTGGAATCTTCAGCAGCCTCTAACACTTCCGGTGAAATATAACAAATCGACCATTGTCCCGTTCTCTACAAGTCAAAGTATGTTTTCATGTAACATATTATCCCATTGGTTGAGTGAGATACGTTTCGTAGGTTCACTCTGGGCCCGTATTCATAAAACCGTTCTCAAAGCATGTAACATGGTCATAAAGTGAAGCGTAAACACTGAAAACAGTACTCGGATTAAAATCTTTCAACATTTCTTACAAATCATTGACGAAATATGAGTATGTATAAATGTATCACTGGCACAAGATATTTAGCTTGAGAACTGTTTCGTGAATACGGGCCCTGGTCGTGATTCCTTTCATGTATCGCCCAGGTTGTAGGATGATAGGAAGATTGGTTTCCTGAGAATCGTATGTCCTACTGTTCAGGCAATAAATCATTAATTATAACTGAAAGATACACGACACAACTCACATAGAGAAAATATATCTTTGATGTGGTTACCTAATTTCTGTTGAAAATGATGTTTTGTCTCCACGTCATGTGACGTGCTTACACCAATCAGACACACTGTAACAAAGAAGGTATGCGAATATATTTTGTAGGTATACATTAGCCGTTTGTTTTACATGGTAACTTAAACGAAAATAACCGTACATTCTCATATAATATTAGCTGTAAAGAGGATATTCAACATAAAATACCCAATAAAAATAATTAATAATTCGTGGTTCTTATATACCGCTTTATCACAACCTAGTTCGTAGGTCGTCTCAAAGCGGTTCACAAATTCAAAAACTCAAAAAACCCAAGATAAGTTGAAATCTATTTCTTTCAGAACACGAAGAAGCAGATGTGTTAGCCGTATTCATCAGACGCTGACTGAGATCGACAACAACTTCATACTACACGCAACTGATTCCAAACTCTTCTCATCTCTGTTCGCCCGCAAAGACAATACACGGTTTATTTAAGTTAAATGATACATAGTAATCCAACCGAATATCACGGTGTTTTCAATGTATAATGTGACCACTGATTTGTGGCACTATTACAATGTATAATGTTACCACTGTTTTGTGGCACTATTACAATGATGTAAGATACAATTCGATACGGTTATTCCTTCCGTTAATATTACCAACGAAAGAACATTTAAACGATGAGTGTTATAATGGATGGCCTTGAACCATGGTCGGCGTTTACTATTGATGGAATGTAAACATAGAATAGAGGATATATTCATTACATTGCTGTTAAACAACGTCAGTGATCACACATAATGTCTACTTTTTATAGTGTACTTAATTATTAATATTGCATATATTACGATATTGATTATTTTGTCATTGTTTCAGCAGCAGATTTTTTTTTAATACAAGTATAGAGTAATGGTGTCATTATAACAATATTTGTTCATAATAAATACATGTGAAGTTTATTTTCAAAAAGAGTATTGGTATGAGCATGGGGGTTATGATATTATAGTGATATTGATTTTATTTCGGAGGCATCGGTCTGTCAAAACCTAGTGTATACAAATAACAATCTTAAAGATTTTTTGCGGACGGTTCCACGATCTGTTAAATATGTAGTTTTCTCCAATACGTGCTGTAGATTTCTCCATTACGTGCTGTAGATTTCTCCAATATGTGCTGTAGATTTCTCCGATACATGCTATTGATTTCTCCATTACGTGCTGTTGATTTCTCCATTACGTGCTGTAGATTTCTCCAATACGTGCTGTAGATTTCTCCAATACGTGTTGTAGATTTCTCCATTACGTGCTTTAGATTTCTCCATTACGTGCTGTAGATTTCTCCAATACGTGCTGTAGATTTCTCCAATACGTGCTGTAGATTTCTCCATTACGTGCTGTAGATTTCTCCATTACGTGCTGTAGATTTCTCCAATACGTGCTGTAGATTTCTCCAATACGTGCTGTAGATTTCTCCATTACGTGCTGTAGATTTCTCCAATACGTGCTGTAGATTTCTCCAATACGTGCTGTAGATTTCTCCATTACGTGCTGTAGATTTCTCAAATACGTGCTGTAGATTTCTCCAATACGTGCTGTAGATTTCTCCAATACGTGCTGTAGATTTCTCCAATACGTGCTGTAGATTTCTCCAATACGTGCTGTAGATTTCTCCATTACGTGCTGTAGATTTCTCCAATACGTGCTGTAGATTTCTCCAATACGTGCTGTAGATTTCTCATTTTCGTACTGTAGTTTTCTCCTATACCTGCTGTAGATTTCTCCAATACGTGATGTAGATTTCTCCAATACGTGCTGTAGATTTCTCCAATACGTGCTGTAGATTTCTCCAATACGTGCTGTAGATTTCTCCATTACGTGCTGTAGATTTTTCCAATTTGTGCTGTAGATTACTCCAATACGTGCTGTAGATTTCTCCATTACGTGCAGTAGATTTCTCCAATACGTACTGCAGATTTCTCCATTACGTGCTGTAGATTTCTCGAATACGTGCTATAGATTTCTTCAATACGTGCTGTAGATTTCGTCAATACGTGCTGTAGATTTCTCCAACAAGTGTTGTTGATTTCTCCATTACGTGCTGTAGATTTCCTCAATACGTGCTGTAGATTACTCCATTACGTGCTGTAGATTTCTCAAATACGTACTGCAGATTTCTCCATTACGTGCTGTAGATTTAT